TAGAAGTTTAATTAAATATTTGATTTTGTTATTGACAAACTTTGTCATTATTTAATTCGGTGCACGCTTAAAGTCCAGGCCTGGCACACTAACGCGAATCCGCGTAAAGTACCCGTTAGGGAACGGCTATTTCCGGCACACAGTAGTGTCGATAATCGTTGGAAAAGTCAGAAAAATAATATAGTACTTTACAACGAGTACTTTTCGCACAAAAAATGTGGGTGTAGTTATGATACCTTGTCTACAATTCACTAAAATGTAATTGGGGTTCCATAATACCACCTTCTCCCCTATCAATATAATGAGAAAATAAAAGTTCACTATTTATTCTACTACTGAAGATGTAAAATATTTACAGTCAAAAGGGATAGCTTAAATGTAAGCCTTAACTTTTAAAAAGTCACTAATATGCTTAAAACAATTTAACACCTTTTGCTGTGTATATTTTGTTTCACTATATACTGTACCATGCTATAGTTATTTTGTAGTCTTGCTGTTACTTACATTTTGTTACTGTTAGTCATTTGTAGTGTTTTATTGTTATAAATCATATTTACAGCCATATATTATCTTTATAGTATTCATTTATGCATACATTTATTATGTTTTAACTTTGTAATTGGCACCTGCCAAAATGGCCCCTGCACTAAGAAATACCAAACAACCAATTAGCCAAATAAGATTACAACAATATGGTAATTATGTTGCTTCAACAATTCTTTTATCAGAACTACAAAACAAACATAGGAATTTATTTTATATAATTTTACTTTTCTTTAAGATCTCTGAAGTGAAGTCATCTAACCTGTTTATTATATTCTAACAAACTAAACAAAGGTAATAATAAATGCCATCACATTACATTCTGGAAAAAAAAAATCAATATTTCAAAGCAAAAAGTCTTTCTGAGATAAGACAATATGGTTAAAGTGTATCCATGGCCGGATCATCGCATAGACAAATGAAACAAATGTCTAGGGCCCAGTTTTTAGAAGGGCCTGGTCAAACTGTCTATTTTGAAAAGATTTGTAAATAAGATAGTTTACTTTTCTGTTGGACAACTGTATATAATAAACAAATAAACAAAAANTATTACATTAATAATACGAAGAAATCAGTCTCCAGTGTACTCGGCTAGAGATGGTTCGGTTAAGCTTTTGTTTAAGTAAAATTTCGGCTCTTTCATCAGGGTTTTGTTTATGTCCTCAATTCCCTAATCGCTTAATTATTTAACTACTAAGTAGAAATAATTCGAAACCAGTTACTTTGTACTCGAATATTTGTAGTCTTGGAAAAAAAGTGGAAAGACAAATTTTTATGACAAGCGGATACATAAATCGTAAATTTAAGGAAAATACATTCTAGAGCTTTTCCTGTACCTCGTGCATCTCTCTCATTCATTAGATTTAGTTGTAAATGACGCTGTCAAAGTAACAGTTAACTTTTTAACATTATACAAGCAGTGGCGTAGCGTGGCTGTCAGCCGCCGGGGGCGGAGGAAAATTTTGCCCCTTTCCCTTATTTAGGTATCTCAATTTAAAAGACTAAAATTCAGTTTCTTCACAGAATAAGCAATGAAAAATTCCGTGCTAGTGTTGCCACCTTATTAAAATCGCTCATCCGAACGGCAGGTGAGGTTTGTTCGAATAGAAGTTCCTGATGCATGCGTATGTCATTTTGCAATGCGAAGAATGATGTGCAGTGCATGCTGGTTCTAAGTCAGTTACAGCTAGCGACCAGGGAGACTTGGATAGGAGTAACGCAAGTGACCTAGCTGTATTGGATATTGGAGGTGTATATATATACGANAAATATACAGTATTGCTTTTTATATGGTTATAGTGAATTCTAAAATCTAAAGAAAATGAACGTGGGTTCAAAAAGTTTCCAAACTTTTTGAATAGTGCACCTCCAGTTGGTTATTTTTTAATTTGCTTGGAGACGTTGTGTCAGCGGAAACCTCCTTCAACCCATTTGTTGATATCTTGTTTTGGTGATTAGTTACTGCCGTTTATGTAAAGGGGTGTTTGTGGGGTTCGGCGAAAAATTGGATCTGCGGAAATCAGCTCTTTGAAAGAGCAGTGTTGTTCTGTGAAATTCTGTGTGAAACTCCGAAAATCCTTCACGGAAACTTCCCACGGGTGGGTGAAACAGTGCTCCAAAAAAGCTCGACAAGTTCGCTCAAATGTTAAGGTGATGTTGACTGTTTTTTTTTTCGATGCAAAGGGGTTGTGCATCACAAATGCCTATCTACAGGCCAGACAGTCAACATGGAGTACTGCTTGGTGTTATGAAATGCCTAAGAGACAGAATCAGGCAAAAACGGCCCGAACTTTGGAGAAGCAGTGAGTGGTTTTTTCATCACGACAACGCACCGGCTCATTTGTCCCTCAGAACTCGTGAGTTTTTGGCCAAGACCACTGTGTTTCCCCCCTACTCACCTGACCTGACACAGAGAGACTTTTTCCTGTTCTCCAACAAACTAAAAAACACACTCAAAGTAAAAAGATTTGCCACCATTCCAAAGATAGAGAAAAATGACGGAGCAGCTTATGAGCATTCCGGAAAAAGTGTTCCAGGACTGTTTCAAAAAGTGGAAACACCGTTGAAATAAGTGTATACGTTGTGGAGGAGACTACTTTGAAGAGTACGCTGACAGATATGTGAAGTATTTTTTTTGTAATAAATAAAGTTCGGGAACTTTTTGAACAAACCCTCGTATTTTTATGTTTCTTCTAATTGAAAGTAAAAGGGAACTCCCAATAATTTAGAATTTTTTTATATAGCGATAAGAATAATATTAACTATACGTATTCTTGAATCCTGTGAAAAATTAAATAATTTTGCTTTTATTTTTTATTAAGCAGATGCAGTGTCCGTATGCGATTTAATAGAAATAATAGTAACAAAATTTATTAATTAAAGGAGCCGGCAGGGGACTCTGAAAAAGAAAATGTCTAGGGCCCCAAAGTGGATTAATCTGGCCCTGAGTGTACGTAGGTAACACCAAGGCGGCGCTTCCAACGACTCTCCTGGAGGGGAGCCGCAGTGTGTCTAATGTCACTAGTTATTGATTCATGATAGTTCTTGAACAAAATAAAAAAAGGAAAAGGAAATATAGTTAATCTAATCTAACCTAACCAAAGCACCACCATTTGGGTTACCTAGGTACACTTTAACCAACAATACTCTATCATCACAGTTCAATTAATTTTGACATTTATTACATTTATCTGATATATTTTCAGATTATAAAATGAAGATCATTGATTTACTTTAAAAATAAGCAAAATTTCATATTTAAAGAGATGAAATGAAATTAATGTGCCTAATATTGGAAGAAAATAGTTGGTAAATATATTTTTGAGAGTAATATGAATATATCGAGTAAAACTGTACTAAATACCAGTTTATTTATTTAGTAATTATGTAGAAACTTCATAAATTCAAACAAAAGCATTGACATCATTTATACACGTGACTTCTGATAGTAATACTTCACAATACATTACAGAATTACCTTTTTGGCTGCACCATCCCCTCCACCTGTATAGAAATCCGTTTTTCTTAGCAAAAAGCTAAAAAACGTATCCAGAAGCTGTAAATATGAAAAAAAAAAAGAATTTCAAAACTTATGAATCATTCAAAATGAACTTTTCTATTATCAACTTAAGCCTAACATAACAAGCTTAATTGTGACGTATATTACCTCCTGTACTCCACCCTCGTGTTGCTGAGCCATAGCAAGCAACATCCCATCAAATTTTTCCACATCTTCGTTTGTCATGATAAAAATAAGAGACTAGATAACACAAAAAAAAGTCCACAAAAACTTTATTCGAATCACTTAACACACTAGAAACCTATCGAAAACGAGTCTGCCCTGATCAATACTCTCTACTCACTATCCAACTGGTTCTAGAGTAAAATCATATTGACGTAAACTTTAACTAGTTAGGTTCAATTAGAGGCCGTTGCTATGCCGACAAGTAAACATTATGTATTCGTAAAGTAAAATAATTGAAACGTAAAGTTTACTGTATTAAAGTAAGAAATTCGAATTATTAAAAATCTTTATTTATATATTATTAAGTTACATTTTTAAAAATTTATATTTTATCTTTGAGTTTGTTTTATTTAAAATATCTTATTTATTTATTTATTACTGTATTTAAAAATTTTAAGCTAAAATTGTATTTTAAAAAATTTATTAGATTTTTATGTTAAAAATTATTGAAGTTTTTATTTATTTTAATGATTAAATTAAACAATAGATGACAGCACAGTACGAAATACTGTAATATATTTTAAATTAATCGTTCTACTGCATAAAGATTAATTAAACTATTTTGAAAATAACAATTTAAGGATAACATTTATTATTTTATTTCAAAATTTAGGAAAATTTGAATTAATAATTTTTAATTTGATATATTAAATATTAATCTCGATCTCTACTATTACGTTTTAATCAAATCACCAATTGTTATTGGTCATTTCAAAAAAACGTTAACTGTACGTAAATAAATAATGGAATAAGCCTTAATTAATAAATGTTTCAGATTAAACATTACGTAATTGATTGATTGATCGATCGATTGACTAACAGGAGCATCAGCACAGTACATGACCACCGCGTAGTTATGATCGTTACGGGCATTATTGATCTGCAATGCATGATTACGTATTATCGTATATATATAGTATTGTACATATCGAAAGTTGAAATAATCTTTCCAATAAATAATAAATTAAACTAAAAAAAATGAATCTTAAAAACTGAAGAATTAATTTCTTTTACATTATAAAATTGTGTTTGATCAAGAAAGCATTATTCTAAAAGTGCTTAAATTGATTTATTAATTAAAGAAGTCAGAAATCTTAGATTGTTTTTATGACTTTTTATGTCAACAATTCGTTTCTTAATGTCTGTTTTTAAAGATAACACTTGATTTAACAAAGATGATTCTTTTCTTGAGAAAAAGTTAATTGATTAATTTTAACGCTTCATAATATGGATAATAATTATTATTATTTTTTCTTCCACTTCTGTTTCATTGTCTTTATTCACTGCTTCAGGACAATATTATTCTAATAAATTATCTCCTCAATCCGATAAGCAATCTTCTGTTGCAACTGTTTCTTCAAATCCTAGCATTTCTGCTTCTGATCCCTGGTAGCCTGTTGGCAACTGCTGAAACCCGAATTTGACAGGACTAAATCGTTGTCAAAAGCCTCAGATCCATTAAACTAATGAGCTTGTTTACACTATTGTCAAAGGTCTGAGGCCTTTGACAATAGAGTAAACAAGCTGATTAGCTTAATGGGTTTATACTGTAAATCAGTGATTTTCAACCTTTTCCTAATGTTGATTGTGTACTTAGCGCGATTTTGAGGCAACTCTGTTGCCTTTTTTTCACTGTTCATGCGCGGTAAAAATCGCCTTCAAGAACTGGCGTCAGAATACTGGGAAAACAGAATACAGTCAAACCACTATTTACGAATTTAATTTGTTCCTAAAAGTTGTTCGGAAACCGATTTGTTCTCAAACCGAAACAAATTTTCTTTTAAGAAACAATATAGAATGGATTAATCCGTTCTCAACCTCCAAAACAAAACTTTTTTAAAATTTTTTTTTATGTTTTCAGTTGTATTTGATGCATAAAATGCCTATAAAGGCAATATACGAGGTGTGTTCAAAAAGTATCGGACCTTTGGTCGGCAAAAATAAATTTATTGACTTCGAGGTACAAAACCCTAACCCCTTCAAAGTAGTCTCCTTGGTAATGTATACACTTCTCCCAGCATTCCTGCCATTTTTGGAAACACTGCTGGAACGCATCTTTTGGAATGGCCATCAGCCGGTCCGTCGGATTTCGNCTCAGGTTTAAACATTCGAATTTGGAATAACAAAAATAAAACTCCAAATTCAAATTCAAAGAGATAAATACCGATAACGTAGCAACTAATTAAAATAAAAGTTAAAGCGTAAAAATACATAAATGTAAAAATAAATAATATACAACCATTAAATATTATTATAAGCCACTATCCTTTAACCAATAAAAATCATTATGGTTCCCATAACGCAATTGCGAATATGGCGCAATTCAAGAGCTACTTGTAAGTTTTTTAAGTTTTTGAACGGTGTACTTCCATGCTGAGGGTAGGCCCTCCGCATCTCTGGCGTTTACGAATTTTTCATCTAGCTTGCTCCTATATATTTCCATTTTTTCAGCAGTTTTCGCTAAAGTTGGGGAGTGCACTTGCTTGATGATTTCCGTATCCTCCCATCTAACTACGGATTCTTGGTCCTGAGCCATCTGGGCCAGAACTGTTGCGTTAGATCTTTTTCTAATATCGTATTTATGCTCTTTGACCCTTATTCCTAGGTTTCTCATTGTAACTCCTTTGTACTCCTTTTCTATTCCTAACTGCTGGTTCTCGTACGGGATCCTATAAACTCCTGCTTTATCTTCCTTTTTGATATCCCCTTTATCATTTCTTAGAATCTTGTACAGATTCGGAGCTCGTTTTACGATCAACGTTGATCCTTTACTGTCCGCAATCTCCTTCATGATGGTTCTTACATTTTTGTTGAATGTACACTTTGTGTATTTACTAGGTTCTTGTTTTGAGGCCCTTGTATCGCCTATCTCAAATTTTCTAATAATGCCAGCTATTATGTTTCTCTTGTAACCCAAGGTTTCTGCTATCTGCATAATCCTTTTCATTTCTTTATTTCTGTCCATAATGTTATCGCAATATAGAAAAGCCCTTCTAACTAAGGCACGAAAAGCTGCTAATTTATAACGAAATGGANATTGCCAACGACTGACGCTTCCTGCAGGCGGGAAAAAATTCAGGGCTGTGCATGACTGTCCCCTCCACAACTCCACCGAAGGAGGCCTGTCGCGCATCATTGGTTTACGCGGAAAAAAAAGGTCCGATACTTTTTGAACAGACCTTGTAATATTAATTCTTTTTTTCTCTATGTCCTGTTGTACAGTTCTGTGTATATACTGACTACCAGTGCGTGCCATCACTGGAAGCGGTGGATGAGCCGCTTCCCTTGTATTTTCTAAAAAATAGATACATATTAATTTTAATTATATGAAAATAATCGCACAATATTTTATTATAACCGCATTATGTATCAGTGTCACCAATCTTTAGACTGCACAATTGGATAATGTTACCTATGGTATGGCGGCTCGTCTCTGATTCCAGCAAAGAGAAGAAAGGAAACAGTGGGGACGCACGTTCTGTCCTAACCTAACCTATTTTAATAAATTACCATAAGTATTACCAACCAAATTATTAGAATAGCTTAGGTTAGGTTTGAACGTGCGTCCCCACTGTTTCCTTTCTTCTCTTTGCTGGAATCAGAGACGAGCCGCCATTTTACTCACCATAGGTAACATTATCCAATTGTGCAGTCTAAAGATTGGTGACACTTTGAATTTCATAGCAATTGGTTTCTGCGACAAGCACACCTATTTGTGGTACATTTATTTGTGGCAAAGATCTTATTTTCACTTTATCGAGGGCCTAGTAGGTAATGTACGGATTACTTAGATACTCTGCACATTATCTACGTAATTTGAGAAATGGAACAATTTTCACAACTTTAACGGATCACGCTAGTTAATCTGCAGATTAACGAGTTTCGAGCTTTAGCGGTAACATATACACAGAAATAGTACTTTATCCACACTTTACGAAAACTTATGTTTCCATTGATTTGATATAAAATTTAATTTAATTTTATTTTTAATTTTAGTTTCGGTTTCAGTGTAAAGGATAGTTTTAATTATTATTTTATTATCTTTAAATTTAATTATTAGTTTTAGTTTAATTAACTGGCCACCTAGTATTAATAAATATTAAATATTATTATTATAATATATAACATTATATTAATAAATTTTAGTCATTTAATTTAACTTAAGTGTATTTAAATGCAATTTCTTAAATGCCATTTATATTACGTGAATTTGATTTTGATTCAACTGCGGCACATACCAAAAAAACAGAAATAGTATCTTTCCTACACGAGCATTGAAATCTAATTTAAATAGGAACGTCGTCGACAATTTATATTGTAATGCGAGGCGATCTCGGCACCTCTAACTNTTTTAATTAACTGGCCACCTAGTATTAATAAATATTAAATATTAATATATATTTTAATATTAATATTTAATAAATATTTGTCATTTAATTTAACTTAAACATATTTAAACACGAATTCTTGAATGCCATTTATATTACATGGATGTCAATTAACACGATTTTTATTAATTTGATTTAAATTCAATATGGCGCGTACCGATAAACGGAAATAATATCTTTCCCGCATGTGCACTGAAATGTAATTTAAATAACAACGTCATCGATGATTCGTTACGTGGCTCAAGGCAATCTCGGCGCCACTAACTTCTGAATCGGTAGTCCTGTCGTTGATCCGTGTCGTTGATCCGTGTTGTCGACTCTCTTTAACATAGGGAATATATACAGTGACCATACGTCCTTTATTTAAGAGGACAGTCCTTTATTTCACTGCTCTGTCCTTTAACTTTATTTATTTTCTAAAATAGGCATTTTGTCCTTTATTTTGTAAAGTTGACGCAAAGTTTAAAAAAAAATTTTTAATAATATATTGAACAAGTTAGTTTTGTGTACGCCATCACGATCAGTGTTGCATTGCTACATAGAGCACAGTAGTGCAGTGTGTCGCCAACCAAACGGCCCACTGACAGTACCAGGGGGTGGACACTCTTATGGGGATTTTTNATTTAATTTAACTTAAACATATTTAAACACGAATTCTTGAATGCCATTTATATTACATGGATGTCAATTAACACGATTTTTATTAATTTGATTTAAATTCAATATGGCGCGTATCGATAAACAGAAATAATATCTTTCCGCATGCGCACTGAAATGTAATTTAAGTAACAACGTCATCGATGATTCGTTACGTGGCTCAAGGCAATTTCGGCGCCACTAACTTCTGAATCGGTAGTCCTGTCGTTGATCCGTGTCGTCGACTCTCTTTAACATAGGGAATATAGGAAGTTGACCAGCGGTGGCCGGCTCGCAGAGTAGCTTGTTCAGAAACCGAATTATCGTGGAGCCAATGTGGCGTTCATAATTTTGTTCGTAAACAGGGGCGTTCGTAATCCGAGGTTTGACTGTATTTTTGCGCGGCGATTCTGTCACAGCTAATCAGCATGCAGTACCTGTAATTCCAAATATACGCGATATTATATTTCTACCCATCGTCCTTAGCACTACATACAGCATAGTATGGAAATTTCGAAAAAGTGCAAATAATAATAATAAATAAATAGCAAATATTAGACGATCCAATAGTGCTGTTGAAAATCTGTTGGAAGATATTAACTGCTATCTTATCCTTTACTAAAAAATACTCTAATTATAAAAAATTATAAAAACGAGAATATAAAAATAACCGTATTGAACCCAAATGACTTAATAGTGGCAGGTCAAGTAAGATATTAGTATTAAATGTTAAAAAGATTAAATACAAAATTAAATTGAAAGATATAAAACTTCATTTTAAGTTGAAAGGTTTTCCACCAGTTTAAAAAGTTTCCATAATTCATTGCAAATCGTTTTTCATTTCGCGCAAAATGTGTAGGCATGTAGAACGTCAATTGTTTCGTTCATCAGACGACGGTCCTAAGTGGAGAGCCAGCATAATAGTGACACTCCAACTTGGTAATTTTTCTTGAGGCAACTCGCACCCCCTACTTCATCAATGTAGAGTTATTGCATTTTGCGTACTTTTAGTAATACACGTAAGTAGTATTATGGTGCGGTAAAGCACTATATCTTGCAGATGTTCTGAAGCGTCTTTGTGGCGCTCCGTCTAACTACTGCTGAAAATATGGTCCACAGAGAGATGTGGTCCACGAAGATTACATCTCTCTGTGGTCTTCGTGGACTGTTTTTGTCAGTTTTTAGATGTTGTCAGATAAAAAAGGAGCTATTATTACACGTGTTATACTTCTATTTCATGAAATGGCATCAGAATTTGGAGTAGAAAGGTGTCAGATTAAGTGAAACGAATATAATAAATCTATGGATGTTAAAAATGTTCTAAGAAGTTGTGAAATAAAGAGAATGCCGGATTAGAGGGTTTCGACTGCATAATAGGTATAACTTACTAAAAATATATATGATAAAATATTTAAAAAAAAGGAACTGNATATAATTTTACTTTTCTTTAAGATCTCTGAAGTGAAGTCATCTAACCTGTTTATTATATTCTAACAAACTAAACAAAGGTAATAATAAATGCCATCACATTACATTCTGGAAAAAAAAAATCAATATTTCAAAGCAAAAAGTCTTTCTGAGATAAGACAATATGGTTAAAGTGTATCCATGGCCGGATCATCGCATAGACAAATGAAACAAATGTCTAGGGTTCAGCCAAACTGTCTATTTTTAAAAGATTTGTAAATAAAATACTGTACTGTATAGTTCTTACTTTTTTTAAAGCTTTTTCTGATTATATTTCAAATATATTCTCCTTCTAATTTTTTCAGATATCCATTTATTATGAGTCTAAATAACAAAAACGTTCTTCCTAATTTTAATGATACGGAACGTTCAACAAAAAGAATTTTTCTATCATCCGTAGATAAAAACAATCGATTCTGCTTAGATGATTGCATGGTGATTAAAAATATGCAACAAAGGGAAGATGAAGATGTAGAGAAAAACATAGAAATAAAATTAAAAAGAACGTCTTTGGAGGATTTATCACGATGGTTTTTACATCCTTATCACGCTTCCTTTCTCTATCCAGATGAAGCGGTGAAAAACACAGAAAATGATGACAAAAGTAAGAAAAACGATCGAATTTGTTATTGCGGATTTAAAAAATCTCTCATTTTAACAGATTATGAGACAGAAATAATAAAAAAATCCTTATATAACCAGAAATATTTTTCATTGAAACACGAATTCCATCCAAATTCTTCAAATACATTTTTACTTTCTGCCTTTGAACACAGGATATCTTTGATTAAGTTACAGCAATTGAAAGAAGAAGAGAAAGAGATTCTTCACTTGAGACGATTATTAGAATTGGATAGGATTCGCCCTCCAGTACCTTATTGGTAAATATGTTTTTCTGACTATACAAATTAATAAATTCTAATAAAATGAAAACTTATTTGAAAATTTTAAAGGTATGAGAAAAAAGATAGACATTTCCATGACGAAGTTCATCGCTTAAACTTCATTATGAAATATCCTCAAGCATGGAATCATTATCTTAGAATAAGAAATGAATCCGAATGTATGGTAACATCTATTGAAAATAAGAAAAATAATATAAAGGAATTATAAATATTAATTAATTTTATAAATGAATGAACACTACAATGGTATTTCGAATAGGGTAAATAATAAGCATAGTGTACACTTCAATTTAGAATTTTAATTTATACGTCTATTAAAATATTTCTAAATATAGTCTATAATATTTATAGGCTAATAACTTTTACTGTGTTTCAATTGTTTTATAGATTTATACATATTCACATGATTACAGTTTATTTGGATCCTTATAAAAAAGTCATGTAATGATAAATTACAAAATTAATTTCATTAGAAAGTTTTACTCTAAAGTTTATTATTGTTGATTTTTAAACTCAACTGAAACAATGAACAAATCGTAAATTATGGAAATGAGACTTTCATTAAAGCTACAGGCTATTGGTTCTTAAACTTTATGAGTAGTAGGATTCCTTTCGTATGATGTGAATTTTGTCGGACCCTTAACTATTAACTTTATACAGTTCTTACACGGCAGGGATTTGATTAAATTTATTTTGTTTATATGAACGAGAAATGCTAGTAGTTGAGTGCAATAGTATTCTATGGTATTTTTATTGTGTTTTTCGTAATGAAATTAAATAAAAAATAAAATTATTTAGTTTGAAAAAAATCACTTGTGGATCCCTGATTATTAACTCTCGGACCATCGGGTCCGCGAACCAGAGTTTAAGAATTGTTGATGTAAACTGAAGAACATTGGCTATTAACATGAAATGAAATGAACTTTGACAAAACATCTAATTCTCATAACTTTTTTCCTTTTTTACTATTTACTAGATCATTGATGAGATTTTTACACCAATAAAATTCATTTATGTGTAAAAACAAATTGGTTTTCTCAATTTACGAGTATATTCGTGTTAAATTTCTCTCCTGTCATTACCTATGTGTGTAACAATGATTTGTGTTATATAAACTTTTGTATTTGTATTGTGTAGCAACGCTTCGTGTCATATAACCATTGTATTATTTTTATAATAAATAAACGTCTATGACGTGGCGTCTTTTATCAAGCCCGCCACTTGTTGGTTCGATATGACTTGAAACGGATCAAAGTAGTCGTGTATGATTTTTTAAACTTGTAAGGTATTCTACTCACTATCTGTGAACACATAACTTGCAACAGTGATATATTTAACAATTCGAGAAAACGCGTAGGTATAGTTTAACATCTAAATGCAAAACCCTGCATAAAATTAAAGTCCTGAAAAACTTATTTGAGCCATTTTAGGATGATAATTTATGAACAAAGTCGGACAAACGGCTTATAAAATTCTGTTTTTATCTATTTTCTATTGAACGATTGATGTATCAGGATCGTCGTTATACCCTTCGAAACTCTGTAGGCGTTTTACTAGTTAATGAAAGGAAAATATAAACAAAAATTATGATAATAAACAGTAACAATAGAAAAGTTAAAATATAATAAAAAAATGTTAAGTTATTTTTCACGTAGTTGATAGTCGCGCTTCTCAGCAGAAACTGCTGGGTTTTACTACCCAGTCTTTATCCTGTGACTATGAGCATTTATGAGGAATTTGGTATTGTCTATTCAACAGGATGCAAATTCAATCAAAATCATGTTGAATTTACAAATTATTACAAATTTACAAATTATTAGACAATTAATTAATTAATTATCTAATAATAATTCATGAATTCTATTCCATGAACACTGTCCTAGAGGAAGCATTATCTAATGTCCTGATGATTATCTAAAAAGACCTTTTTCCATAACCATCATAAGTTCATAACCAAAATGAGAGCGGTTAGGTGGTAAGGTACGGGACCCGATTTACCGGGAGGATCGTCCATAAAAAATATCTGAGATTGTTCGGATTCGATACTGTTCAGTCTACAGCGGTAAGCTGATGCCTTAACCATCTCGATACAGATATAATAGGATTAAGATTAGAGGAGAAGACGGTGAATAGAATATATTGGATGTTGGAGCAACAAAGAATTACCTCATGGGAGTATATTATATGGAAAACATCATGAGAGTAACATATAAGATTACCCCATGAAAATATTGGTTTGCAGCTTCTAAAATTTCCACGAGGAAGCTCATATATAAAAAGTCAAAAAAGTTATCATAAGAGGTCATCATTCGATATTGTCGACCTCTATCAGGTCAGTAGTATCAAAATAATACGATGTTATAAGCGTAGAATATAAAACAAAGACTTAAAATTACGTTTAAAAATCGAAGCCATAAAATTGATGAAAATATTTTCAAATTTCCGGAGTAAGATTCTATTATTCGGCTTCTGATAAAATTTCATACGAAATACAATTATAAAATAATCGAAAGAATAACGTATCACAGACAATTTATTTTCTAAAAGTTAAACAACACAAATTATTGATATAATGTTTATAGAAGGGATTAGGCTATATTTATGTATTTAAATCAATTCTTAGAATAGTACAGAATAGTTCAATTAAAATTTTATGCTTTAATACAGGTAATTATTAAAAAATATTGTAAATTTTGTGTTAATTTGGTAAATAATCAATATTTACAGAAAATTATGAGAAATTCTGATGTTATGACTAATTAATGTTTTGAATACTTAACTCTATTAGCTGGTTTCTATATTTAATTTTAAATATTAACATACTTTCTTTTTGTTTCAATTTAGATAAATCTATTAGTTGGTTTTTTACCTTTAAGTAATCTTCAAATTAGAGTGATAGTGCAATTTTAACAATTTCCTTCTCGATGCCAACATTTCATTTTATTTTTTTTTCTATATCATATATTGCTTCAGAATTCTCTTCCTTGTTTAGCTTTTTTCTTATGAGCAGTAAAGAATAATCTTTATTGCTCGTTTTATAGAAGAATAAAAGTATTGAATCGGAGAACATTAAATGAAACATTGTTTTATGATCAATTTTAGAAGTATGCATATAATCCGAAAATTAAATTGGAAATAACAATTGTGTTACCTTTGACACTGACATGTCATTCCAGGATGAAACCTTACTTCCTCAAATTCCCATCGTTATATGTTAATGGTAGGTTATTTACCCTAGATTATCTATCTTCCGTATCCTTATTCCAATTTCATATTTATAATTATTCTAATGAGAAAATACTAATCATATAAAATGTTTACACGAAATTTCTGCGGTAGAAAATGTCTTACATACACTATTTAATTTATAGGAGGAATAGAAACTAAAAATAATCTTGCGTCTGGAAAAGTAAAGTCGAAATTTTTCCTGGAGTGATTGCTCTCTGTTAAGATTTGTGCTGTTTTTCTTTTGTGTTTTGAGTGCTCTTCTCATTAACCTATAAGATATTTTAATACATGAGATAAGAACGAAATTTTTGTAATTGTCTTCAGTCTCCTATAAAGTACGATGTACTAAATTTTTATTTTTTTATATTGCAAAATGTTGTGACATATTTTTGACATATTTTTAATATATTTTTCGAGATAAAAAATAGGAGTTTGGTAACCAAATGAATACAAGTAAAGATGTTTTAAGTTGTGTTAATAATATTTTATTAATTAAATAGTATACTTTATACATAAATAGGATTCGCCGACAGATTATATTAGTGAGGCGAAAAGTTATTACATAACAAATATTTCTTCTATCAGTCATTCATACTTCAATTCCCCATAATAAATGGCATGTGATATTCACATTATTGCAAACAAATTTGGCGTATTTGTTAGATATGCACAATAAGTTTAATAACTTTTTGATTTTCCATTCTGTTGAAAACCTATACCTCTTTGATTTCCATCATTTCCGTTTTGTTTAGCATAATCTCCCGATTTACCCCCATATCCATTTGATCCGTTCTGTGAGTCACCAAATCCGTTATAACTATCTCCTCCTTGCTTATTTCTTCCACCAAAATTATTTTGACTATCGTAACCGTTGTTTCCTGCATTTTGTTGTCCAAAATCGGATTTTCCTCCTCTCTGCCCGTCGTAATCATCTGTAAAATCCTTTGTATCACCATTTTCACGACCACCGTAATCATTTTGTGCTCTTCCGGCTTCATCGGATCCACCAAAGCCACGTTGTTGATTATAGCCATCTTTTCCTTTTGGTTGACTTCCTTTATCTCCCTGATATCCATTTTCTTGACCAAAGCCTCCTTGATCTCCAAAATTACCATTTTGGTCATTTCCAAATCCATTCATATTTCCTTGTCCATCATAATTCGCCCCTTCTTGTCCATTTCCAGAAATTCCTTTATCATAACTTTGTTCTCCCCCTTCGTGGCCTCTACCAGAACTTGTACCGTAATTTCCTCCATTCTGTTGATTTACACCACCTTGTCCTCCATATATATCACTACCTGCACCGACTCCTCCTTTCTGGAAACCTTCCGTGAGATATAAATCTTCATTTAAGTTGTAGTAATTAGGAGTATCTTCACATTTTACATTATACCACCAATCGCATACGAAATATTTTTGATTAAATATTGTACCAATGGGGCAAAGAAAAGAATCATGTCTACCATCCTCTTGACACATATGGAACACCTACAAATTATCGAATGGTTTTAACGTCTTACAATAAAACCGATTATTTGCATAATAAGTATCTTACCTGACATCTTGCTTCTACATCACCATATATACCTGGATATTGTTGACTCTTACATTGAAATGATGTTTTTGGAATAACTACTTCTGTTGGATAATCCTGTCCTGGAATGCCTTTAATTGTATCCTCAAGGCTTCCGGAAGGATAATCTTCTTGATTAGTCCCTGCTCCAAATCCACCTCTTTGTCCTTTTGTTTGGCTTCCATCCGGAAATCTATTTCCTCCATCGCCATAATTGTCTTGTCCACCAAAATCTCCTTTAGGATAATCTCCTTGTTGATCTCCAAATCCATTACTTTCTCCAGAACCACCTTTACCATAGTCATCACGTTTTCCTTGTTGATCTCCAGAACCATCTCTGCCATCCTCTCCGTTTCCAAAACCGTTTTGTTTGCCATAGCCATTTTGTTTTCCGTTTCCGAATCGTCCAAAATCATTATTTCCTTGTAATCCAAAGCCATTTTGTCCGCCGTAGCTGTCGCTTTGCTGGTCAAATCCGTTTTTATCTGGTTGTCTACCATAACCATTTCCATCTTGTTGGCCCCCAAATCCATTATCTCCTCTACCACCGTAGCCATTACTTTTTGGAGAATCTTTACCAAATCCAGCCTTACTTCCTAATCCAGATCCATATCCATTTTGTCCATCTTGTCCATTTCCTTTTAGTTGATCTCTAAATCCACCAGGCTTTCCTCTTCCACCATAACCATCCCCTTCAAATCCATTCCCTCCTTGTTGACTCCCAAAATCATCCTTATCTTCTTGACCACCATAACCATTTTGGTTTTGTGGACCATTCCCTCCAAATCCATTCTTTTTACCTTGATTACCAAATCCATTTCCTCCTTGTTGACTTCCAAAGCCATTCTTATCTCCTTGACCACCATAACCATTTTGGATTTGTGGACCACTTCCGAAATCGTTTTTGTCTTGTTTGGAGCCAAATCCATCCTGCCCAGTATATCCTCCTTTTTGACCGTCATAACCTTGCTGATCTCTGAATCCATTTTTATTTTTTTGGCTACCATAACCTCCATTTCCCAAACTGCCATCAGCAGGAGAATCTCCGCCAAAATTGTTATTAATGCCTTGATCATTTCCAAATCCATTGTATTTATCTCTTCTCTGTCCTCCATTTAGTCCATTCTTAGCACCTTGTCCACCACCTCCAAAGCCGTTTTTCTCACCATAGCCTCCACTTCCAATTCCACTTTCTTGACCAAATCCATTTTGATTTCCATATTTTTCTTGTCCAGGTTTATCATCGCCTTCTCTAGGACCGTAATTATTTTGTCCAGTATTTAATCCGCCTCTGTCTTGTCCAAATGGTTGGCCACCACCTCTATCATAGTCGCCTTGTCCATGCTGATCAAAACCATTTTTCCCTCCGCTATAACCATTTCCCCCTCGTTTTATCTGAAAACAAATTCTGAAATCTGAATTTTGATAATTATAGTACGGTCAAATAGTCAAAGTATTTTATTTAAGGACTAAATTATTATATTAAAGTAAATAACATTTTAACAGTAGTAAAATAACTCTTCTGATCGTTAATGAATCCTAAAATAGATAGTCCAAAATATAATGATTTACGGAAACCATAATTTATAATAGTTACTTACTCTTTGTTTCCTTTCTTCCGTTAACACTACTGACACAAGGCCTAAACCTATTAAAAATACTAAATTAATTTTACTATAAAAAGTTATAACAAGATTTTTTCTCTCCTTTAAGCCATCTTACCTATCAAAACGATGTTAATATATAGACGATTCATGCTCTTCTCTAAAAGTAATCTTCTGTTAAACAATAAAGATGCTATTTATTATTGCATAGTCAATATCACAGCAGAAGATTCGCTTACCTGAAAGTGAAGTTAACCGGAGGAAAGATTCTGTAGAAAGAGGAAAGGCGGTTTATATAGGATCTAGTGATGCGTCCATTGTTCATGAGGACATATAGGTCGCCCGACCACGTACGAGTTGGTCCACTTTAAATCCGGAGGCGGGAATTGGGAAGTCCTTGTGTTAGTTGAATCGTGAGAAGTGCTGTACTTCTCCTCAAAAAGTAATATCAGCTTCTTAACGCTATAGTGATACATATCATATGCTAATTGCTAAGCAAATTAGTTATTGTGCTTAAGATATATCTAATTTGAATGTGATTTACGAGCGATATAACGAAATAATCAAGAACTTTTTAATCAGGTGACCTATCTTCGATGTTCATCAGGGTCTCTAGAACGAAATGGTGAAGCACAATTACTTGACAATGACACATTCACCGAATCACGATTTTTGATCTAATGTCACATTCACTCGGACGAATTCTTTATCGGGGTGGTCGTGAGAATGTTTTTCGATTTTACTTTCATTGTTTCGATACTTTAATGATGGCGATTTGAATGCTTTCTACCTACGTTTAGCTGAGTAAAATTTTAAGTTAGCTTATTTTTAGCGATTAGATTGTATATCTAGATACGAACTGATACTTATTCCAATTTCTTTTAAAATTAGATCATATTTTCTTGAAAAGATCTGTATTAAATTATTTTATTTTTAAAGTTTTTTCCGTTTAAAAATTTATTTATCTGTTTATAAAAAATTAGACTTTTTATGATTATTTAAACAATCGCTAGCATAAAGTTAAATTTAAAAAAACATGTAGAATTAATCTAAGATAGAAGATATCGTCTGATATTCTTCATTATTTTTTATTCTGATACATAAATAATTTGTATAATTATCTTGTGGAATTTTTAAATAAGTATTAGAAATAAGAAAGAGTTTTCACTGATAATGTAATAATTTTTCAACTACGATAAATTTTATAGCTCTATAAAAGTGGATTTTCTAGTTTTATATAGCCTATTTCATCGCAATGAATCCATCATAATCTGGTTCGCTTCTACATACAATTACAGATATTTTTAATATAATTATTTTAAAGAAAGGAAGAAAAGATTATCCTATAGGTTAAATTTTTCTAATACAGTATTATGTAACAAATTTCAGATTTTCTTTTTATGTACTGCTTATTTTTTAATCTGAGATTATGAATGAATTGCATACGGTATCTCAGAATAAAATATATGATAATATCAATAAAATAAAAACTCATTAATTGTGGTTTTTATTGATTTGAAATACCTGTATAAAATTAAAATTTCACCATACAAGTATAAATAAGAAAATCTATGAAAATAAATAAGTTTCTTTGGTATTAATTATTAAATATTTAAAATTAATGTATCTAAATTCTTCCGATTTTAAATTGACACAATTCTTTAAGTTTAATGTATCCTATATAACATAATGTGTAAAAATGTGGACCTATAAATGTATCTTAACTCTTTATAAAATGTTTATAATAAATCTCGTAAATTAATATTCATAAGAAAGTATTTAAACTGAAAGTTATGTACCGGTATATATAGTAGGAATAAAGGAATTGTTTTCTACATATTAGTTATTTTATCCTACATAATGAGTTTCTGCTTGTCTCTCATTTCAGTTTTCCAATATAATTCTTAACTTTTAACTCATAGTAATAATTATAATATGAATTAATTTAATATGATTATTTTATTTTTAGATTAATAAGGAACTCTCGTAATTTCGAGTCTTTTAATCTATAATATGAATTTCCATAAGAGTAATAGTTTTCCTACCTAAAAATAGAAAAGATTTTGTACTTTTTTATTACTAAGTAAACAGTTCATAATTTAATATTAATTTATTTTATCAAAATTTATGCATTTTCTCTGTCTACACAAGATTATTTCGCTCTACTAGATTACTTGTAACAAATTTTTCTAATTACTGGCGTTGATTTTAGGTCTTCATAAACTGCAAAGTGTAATTCGAGATTTGTATTCCTAGTATAAAATATATAAATATAAATTTTCCAAAATATCCATTTAGAAAATAAAGAGCTTTCGCACGATTCTTTTCTAGATAATAAATGCAGAACGTGTGAAGTCAAGTGGGCATTTACTGCTTAATCATACCAAAGATCAAAACTAGACTATTCATTGAAAGATTTATGGTCGTAAAAGTATTGTTGAATTAAGAATACAATTTTTATAAGTGTATATAACGTAAACGGTATCATTTCTACAAAGTAAAACATAAAGAAACGGAGAAAACAACTAACTCGAACACTTTATGTTGCTACAATCTGCACCTCATACTTTTTTATAAGTAGCAAGAGTCAAGACATCACTCTCTATCCCTCATTTATACTGGCCAAAACCGTCGAGGATTAGGCCGCCCGAAATTGTAGCCGATCACATAGTCTTAATGTGCTGGTGCCTCGCGTTAACATTCGATCAGTCATTGCTGCTCTTATATTACGGAGGCTCTCTTCACCTTGAAGTGAAATAAAGCGAACTGCAGTGAAGGAACAATCGCTCCTTCACCTGGTTAAACTTAATACTTTTGCTAGTATAACGGAGGGGTGTTGATAATAGAAAAATACGGTTAAGTTTATAATAAGGCTGATGATGACACGGTTCGTTTTACTCGCTGAATGCAGACAATAAAGAAGCAATCATCCAACTTCATTTTCCCTTTTGAGTATGGGTCAATGGAAACGATTATTAACATGTTGGGTTTCTGATAACATTGTGTGAGATTCTTGTTTTCTTATTAACCGTTCAGGTACCGCAGGTGCCCATCGAAACAGAAATGTTAACCTTTCTCTCAGTGAAAACCATTTTGAAGTAATTTATTGTATTTAAGGATACATTATATTATAAAAGTCAAATAATATAACTATATCTTTATTTTTTTTTAAATCATTCAATATAATAGCAAGCCTAAGTAATTATTTCTCATTTTTCTTAACTAAAACTATCAATTCATGCTTAACCAAATACATTGTAAATACAATAAAATTTATTAGGAATAATTTATGATGTCAACAAGGAAATTAAATAGTTTAAAAAAATCGCGTTTTTATTTTTAAAGTGGGATATAATTGTCAGAAAGTTACTGTTTATAAGTATCAAGGCGACTTGTTCCGGATCAAGAACTCTGATTGATGCTTATCTCAGAGCTTAGTTATTATTTTATGATCGACATGATGCAAGTCATTGAATACTCAAGTGAATAATTTATCGAAAAATAGTTTATGGAATAGTTTAAGGCTCTTAAAAATACTAATACAATAAAGTTTTCTTTTTACTTTTTGATATTGTATTAGTGTACTTGACTACGCATTTCACAATGGTTAACTGTAACTGGTTTATTTATGATATTAAAACTTTAAGGTAATTTGGATGGAAGGTCTTGGTCTTTCTTTCAAGTTATTGTGAACTTGGACGAGAATTTTAAAAAATAACAAAGTTTATGTCTTTGTCACCATTTTAGCCTAACATTATTTTAAATTGTTTCGCATTTTTCTTTGAATATTGTTTTCAGGAGAAAAAAAAAAAAATAGAGAAAATTATAGGTATACTTAACTAATTTGAATACAGTAGAGCGTCAATTATCTGAAATAATCCGTACGGGACAATTTCGAATAACTACTTGGGATAGAGAAAGAATAAATAAATAAATATCTTAAGTAAACTATAAATATTCATTTTAGTTCTAGTACAATAATAATAGTAATAATAAGATTAAGGCATAGAAATTTAATAGAGGCCTGTGATTTATAAATTATGTTTTTCTATTTTTATTGAAACTTTAAAGTAATTTGAAAGGGAGATCTTTGTCTTTCTTTCAAGTTATTAGAAAAACTTCGTGATTTCTGGACTTACGAGTTAATCTGAAGTCACTTTCGGTTAATTGATTTTTTGGATAATCGACGCTCTACTGTATTTTAAATTTTAGTTGTAAATTGGACACGATTGTTTTTCGAAACAATAAGCGTCATTAATTAAGTTCTTGGATAATTATTCACATATGCAGTATTTAAAGATGCGTTAGAGAGAATGACTCATTAAAGACTAGACTTACCTTGTTCTTATTACTGTAGATAAACTATCATTAATATATTTTTTTAAAAATAGCTAGGCATTTAATTTAACCAGATGTCTTTATTATATTTATATAATAATAAAAAAGCATTTTATTAAGATAAAAATGGAATCTTTTAGAATACAATGCTAATTAACAATGTTTTTGATTAATAACAGAGTAAACTCATTAAAGATCAGAACTAATCATTTCCGTTACGTTTTAACCTTTAATTTTTTTTAAGGAAAATCGGCAACTGTTTACATTACACTTTGTTTCTAAAAATACACACTTCTAATTTAGATATTTTGGTTACTACAAAATAACCTTTGATCTTTTATGTTCAAATTAACATTAATCTACTCAAGTTTACTCTCTTAAAAATAGTTTATCTTATCTGTTAAAATAATTTTAACTGTAAATATATTTAAACCGCACACTTAAAATTCAAAAGATAACATATAAATCGATAATATTAGAAGTATATATTTTATAGAGAGTTTTTATAACCATAAATTTAAAAGTAGGTCTGTTGATAGCATGAATAAGCCTCATCAAGTAGACCTACTTAGAAAGAACTATGTGTGCAAATACATTGAAATACTATTAATACAATCTTGTCCGTAAGTGACATGCACAGAATCTAAATTTGGAACTTTATAGGTTTGTGTAATATTAAAATATTTTCCTTTATGGTATGAAAATTGATATAAAGCACATTTTTCAGTTATTGTTTAGGACTCAAATTGAATAAAAAGTCATGAAAACAAAGTATCGAAAGTACTGAAGTACTGTACTGTACATAATGACTAAATATCCTCAAATAGAATAGTTTAAAATTCGCACTATTGTTAATAAATGAATGTTTTATGACAAATATCCTTTGTCATAAAATATTTATTTATGAATAGCCCAACTACAGTAGAATAAATATTGGAAATATAATCAGTGTAGCTTTATATTATACAGTATATCACAATTGTATTA